TGTGGAGAACAAACTGAACATCAAAAGATAACTAAGTGATAAAGGATTTATAAACAAAACTGGAAAAGTCAACAAATTAATGTATGTTTTTGGTGAAAACAGTTTTGGTGGTTTAAGTCTATTTAATGTTTTGTGTTGCAATTGGCAATAGTTTTCATTATTCAAATGTTGAGTATTTTACCTTTATGGGTCCACTATGACACATTTCAGTAAATGTTTCTGCGCAAGATTTTATATTAAAACTTTTGATGATTATAAGTGTGCAAAAAAATCCTAAAATACATTCATATATTTAACAAAAATGTGTTAGTTGTAGAAGAAGTAGTAGTTTGTTGTTGTGAATTGGATTCACAGTCTTAATTAGCGTGCATGACTCATCTTCACAAAGAAAATTCATTTCTCTGTTATAATGTTAAGTTCACAACAATTTCCTCATATCATTGAAATTATATTTCCATTGAACTGATTAACAGAAAACATGTCACATTTTATTTATTAAATTCACATGGAAACAGTTGTATGTTTTGCATTTTTAATTATAGTTAAATTACTAAATAAATTCAAATACTTTCATGTATAAATATGTGCATTGTGGGATGCATTTCTCATTCATCTTTTTTCTGTTACAGATTCATATCAGGGGATTTTGTACAGCGACTGAACCGACTTCAGTCACTGTGGTCGCCGAGCACAAAAATAGACGGCAGAGTCTTCAGTCTTCAGACTGTTCATCTGCAGATACACCTGCTGTTTGCTGTTGTCTCTGGAGATGGTGAACCTTCCTCGAACTGACTCAGAGTAATATTTGCTTGTGACATCGATAGTTGAAACCCACTCCAGTCCTTTCCCAGGAGCCTGTCTTACCCAAGCCATCAAGTAGCTGCTGAATGTGAATCCAGAGCCTGTACAGGTCAGTTTGTGTGAGTCTCCAGGTCGTTTAACAGCTGGATCAGATTCTGTCAGAGACTGATTATCAACACCTGCAAGGAGAAGATAAGAGTTTGAAAAACTATCTGCATGTACAAACTGAAAATTGATCTAAACTGAGAAAATGTGGGGGAAAAAAAGCTTGAATATTTCACCTGCAAAGCAGATAGTTAAAAGGAGCAGCCCTGTCCTGTAGTCCATTCTGCTAAACAGGTTCCTGTTGTTCCTAGTCAGCCCACCTACAGTCAAATATATACAGTAGCTCTGGATGACATCCTGCACTGTACGGCTCCTCCTGATTGGACAAAGACTAAGCAGCATATTTGTTTTGTCATATTTGTAGTGTCATATTTGTCTACCTTAATTAAAACTTCTTCTTTTTATGTAAATTATTGGGTATTTGGATGCTATTCTTCAAATAAAATCTGTGAAAATCTTATATTTATTTATATGAAAACAATGCATGTCATATTACAATTCTTAAGGCCAACAAATAAAAAAAATTAAACGGATGTGTGACCAGAAATGAACAATAATCATTGGTTTAAAAACCAAACATCATGAATAGATTTATTTATTTAACAAATTTTTTGTTGTTTCATACAATAAATTTGGGTGACATACAATAAAGAAATACCATTGCTTCCAAAGAGACGCTGTTTCAAATAGGGAATATGTGAGAATGCCAATAAATAGTCAGCCTGACTGAAAATCTGAGAAGATATAAACTATTGACTGATAAGCTCAACACAAATACAATAAACACCAAAGAAAATCAGAGAGTAAATATATAATGCCAATGAGCTCATTTATTCACGTCTGCAACACGAAACAAATATGAGAAAACACAGATTATATTTGTTGAAAATATTCATCACTTCTTGAAAAGTAAATGACCAATTATAATGTTTTCTATTAATGCGTAGACTGAGTCGTTCTACGGTCAGCACTGCCACCATCTGGTGACAGAGAAAACATTCTCTCTTGTCCAGCCTCTCCACCTGCTTTTGCCACAGTAATACACAGCAGAGTCCTCTGGCCTTAAGCTAGACAGTTTCAGGTTCATCATGCTGTTGCTGTTGTCTCTGGTGATTTGTGTCCGACTTTGTAAAGTGCTCAAATAGCCGGTTCCTCTTGCATTATGATAAATACGTCCCATCCATTCCAGTAATTTTCCCACCGGCTGTCTGATCCAGTGCATATCATAGGACCCGAATGAGAAGCCGGATCCTCTGCAGGAGAGACTCAGAGTCTCTCCTGGCCTTTTCATCACTGCACTGGAGGGAATGGACTCCATTCTCTGACCTGTAGAACCTGGCAGGATTATGGAAACACAAGGAATTACACTGGTGAAATTGAGGATATTCTCCAGAGGATGTTCTTTAGGATCTTCTTCAGTTTTACAGAAGAGAATGAAAATGTAAATATTGTTTGGTGAAAGAAAATTTAGAAAGTGGAAGAACTCACAAGGCAGAGACAGAGCAAGCAGCAGAAGAATGAATGAACTATGTTGCTGTTCATTTCCTTCAGTGTTGTGGTGAGAAAATCTTTAAATGTTTTGTGTTTTGTTTGGATTTCATTACATCTGCTGCACAGTAACACAGACATATTAAGTACTAAATAAGACTAACTCTATCTCTTAATTCATGTCTGTACAAAAGAGATTAAATTAAACACAGTTTTGTTTTTCCTAAAAAAAAAAACTGCTTATTATGAAAAACTGTTTTATGGAGAACATATACTTTATGATGATCACCATGCTTTTTCAAGCACCAAAAGTTTTCCTTATTTGTTCCTTCTTCCTCTCTCTCTCTCTTTGTGTGTCTCCACATTTAAACCAACATCTCAGATCCACATGGGTTTGTTGGCATTAGATTACATTTACATCCCTTAAAACATTTTACTTTAGTTGTTTATTCCTCTCCTTCTCTTAGTATATCTATTTACATGCAGCTATTATATCGTTGTCAGTGTCACAAAGGGGAAAAAAGCTCCGGGGACTTGAGGTTTTTGTGCAGCTGCTGAACCAACTTCAGTCACTGTGTCTCTCGAGCGCAGAAATAAACAGCAGAATCTTCTGTTCTCAGGCTGTTCATCTGCAGATACACCTGACTTCTGCTGTTGTCTCTGGAGATGGTGAACCGGCCTTGGACTGACTGGGAATGATATGTGAGGCCACCATCACCCCTGATATCAGCGAGCCACTCCGGTCCTTTCCCTGGACTCTGTCTTATCCAGGACATCCAGTAGTCACTAAATGTGAATCCAGAGGCTGTGCAGGTCAGTTTGTGGGATTCTCCAGGTCTTTTAACCACTGGACCTGATTCTATCAGACTCTGGCCATCGACACCTGTTAAACAATGGAGGCATGAAGTAAAGTTCTTGTTAGAAAACAGTTTCTGAAAGACAGAATAAAGCTCTGTCTGCATTTTCTCACCCATAAAGCAGATGATAAAGAGAAACATTACTGAGTTGTAGTCCATTTTGGTCCAGTGTGCTCTTTTGTCTCTGACAGTGTTTTTACAGCCACACATATGTGGCTGGGTTTAAAGATTTGCATTGACTCCTCCTGACAGGGAGGGAGAAGAAATAACACATAGATTTGTATGTGAAACTCATTCTATGACTGGATTTGCTGCAGCTCATATAGTTTCATGACTCTCTTTCTTTTTTTCACCCTAAAGTGGTCAATTGAGATTATTCTGCTGATGTTTTCTCTCACTGAAAGATGTCAGTGTTAATCAGCAGTCAGACCAAAAATGTGAGAGATGTAAGAGATTTAAAATAAAGTTTATTATTGGAAAACTCATTTCAAGACTTGAGTTTTCCCAGTTTAGGATGCTGGATTTTATGCATGTTTGATCAATGCTATATGAGTAATTATTTTTGAAAGACAATGTTTTCTAATTTTAGATAGTTTAGTCTAAAAGCAGCTGTCAGAATAATTAATGAGCATGTCCCCAGTTGACATATGAAACAAAGTAATATTATAATTGTCACACCTGCCTTTTTGTGTGTGTACATGTTTTAATATTTATCTACTGAAGAGTAAATTAAGAAAATGTTATTTCATTTAAAAATATCCTACTTAAAAAAACAATACATTTAGTTTTTTTTATAAAGTTTTGATCTTCATTTAATACCAATATCTTCAGCAATATATTTTAGAGATATTGTTAAATATATTGCTTAAAGACAGTAATGTCTTAAAGATATAGCTATTTCTTATATATCAAGCTTAAAGTCAAGAAAAAATTAAACCAAAACTGCAGTTAATGAATCTTTTTTGTAAGTTTTATTCTGACTATAGTCAATATATGTCAGTGTGATATAAACTTATAGATTAGTTAGTTATTCTAATATTAGAATAGCTGAACAAAAATGGGAAAAAATAATTCATGAAAATCTATAGTCCTATTGTTGTTTAGTCAACACTGCCACCATCTGGTCATTGAGGAAATATTTTTCAGTGCAGGTTTTGTTCTGTCTCTCCACCTACTTTATTACTTTGCTTATGTGGCATAGAAATATACAAAAGAGTCATTAGCACTTAAAAAGTCAGTGTAAAATACATCATGCTGTTGCTGCTCTCTCTGATTTGTATTTTAAACCTGTTACAAGAACTTGTTCCACTTCCCTCTATGAAAATGTAGCCCACAGTTTGTCTGATCCAGTTTATTTGACAGCATCCAAATGAGACGTCAGATTCTTTACTGAAAATCACATGCTTAGAGTACAAAGCTGCACTTCTTTGTACTGGAGTTTTTTAAATATAAATTATAAATATTTTGTGCTAAATATGTAAGGAGCTTAAACAGATAAAGCAATGTATGATTTATGCATGATACAATTCTTAAGTTAGATACATTAACCAGTTGTTAGAATTGAAACATCATCTTACACTTTACCTTTTCTTTACTTATTTTACAAAAAAAGCTGATTTTGAAACATTCGTTTTCCCATTGAGTGAGCAGAAATCTATTCATTATGTTAAATGTTTTGCACTTTATGCAAAAGTCATAGCTTTTGCATTGAAGCTTATTTTTAAAATGATATATTTTAAAATAAAAAACATAAACTAAAGAACTGTCGGTTTTACAGACAAGTCTAACAAAGAAAATAAAACAATCCACTAGATAACTTTGAGTGGATTGAGGTTTTTGTACAGCTGCTTAAACAACTTCAGTCACTGTGTGTCTCGAGCGCAGTAATAAACAGCAGAATCTTCTGTTCTCAGGTTGTTCATCTGCAGATACAGCTGATCTCTTCCATTGTCTCTGGAGATGGTGAACCTGCCCTGGACTGACTGTGAGTAGTACTTGCTACTACCACTGCCACTGCTGATAAAAGCGATCCACTCCGGTCCTTTTCCAGGAGCCTGTCTGATCCAGGCCATCCAGTAGCTGCTGAATGTGAAACCAGAGGCTGTGCAGGTCAGTTTGTGAGATTCTCCTGGTCTTTTCACAGCTGGTTCAGATTCTGTCAGAGTCTGACAATAAATGCCTGTGAAGCAGAAACATATAGTCGTTGTAAGAAAATAGTTTTTCAAAACCAGATTAAGGTTCTGTCAGCAATTTCTTACCTGTAAAGCAGATGATAAAAATTAACAACCCAGATTTGTAGTCCATCATGTTTCAGTGATTCTTGCTCTCTGACAGCATTTCCACAGTCCCACTAATAAAGCTGGAAAACACAAAGTTTTGCATTGACTCCTCCTAGCAGGGAGGGGGGAGTTCAAACTCAGATTTGTGAGATTCATTCCCAGAAGTATGCATTGATCATGTTGATTATTAGAGGGTTAATTGTACTTATAGACCAGTCATTTTCAGAAGAGTTGGGTTTAGTCACAACAAATAAGCTTATTTGTGTAATATTATGGGAAGACAGAAGTAGACTTTGGTTTCAGGATAGAGTGTACAAATACAAGTTGTATTTGTTACCATGGGGAAATGTCATGAGAAATGTTGAATAACATGATTTGACTCTAAGACAGTGAAGAGAATTTATTATAAAAAAAATAGTTAATAATGTGATTTATGGGGATTTATGTGAAACTCTTTTATCACGTCTTTATATAGTAACAGCCATTAAAAGTGAAACTTTTATGTTTTCAAATAGTGACACTGAGTGGTACGCTGTGTTTTTCCACCATAGCTGCAGATTATGCATAAAATAATTAACTTTTTACAGATCATGTTTAAGGGGATTCTTCCATACTTTAGGAAATGAATACCTTCAATTGTTTTCAGAATAAACTTTGAAACAAATTAAATGACAAAACGATTTAAAAATCAATTCATCATTTGTTGATAGATTGTAGATATTTTGCGATTTCTTGGCATCAGATCCAATATTTCCGACTTTGGTAAAGTGGTGGAAAAGAATACATTTAGTGTATGAATTTATTCCTCTTAAATCTCAGGATCACTGTTTGGTGTTGTGGAAACTGAATCTTAGTTTTGCAGACAGGCTTCACAGAGAAAATAAAATACTCCACTAGATAACTCTGAGCGGATTGAGGTTTTTGTACAGCTGCAGAAGCGACTTCAGTCACTGTGCCTCTCGAACGCAGTGGTATACAGCAGAATCCTCCTTTCTCAGGCTGTTCATCTGCAGATACAGCTCATCTCTGCTGTTGTCTCTGGAGATGGTGAACCGGCCCTGGACTGACTGTGAGTAGTACTTGTCGCTACCTCTGCCACTACTGATTTGAGCGACCCACTCTGGTCCTTTTCCAGGAGCCTGTCTGACCCAGTTCATCCAGTAGCTGCTGAATGAGAATCCAGAGGCTGTGCAGGTCAGTTTGTGTGATTCCCCTGGTTTTTTATCCACTGATCCAGACTCTGTCAGAGTTTGACAATAAATGCCTGTGAAGCAACACAGTAAAATTAGTCTAGTTGTTGTTATAAAAGTTTCAAAAGGGCAAAATTAATTTTGTCGCCAATTTCTCACCTGTCAAGCAGATGATAAAAACCATCAGCTCATGTTTGTAGTCCATTGTGTCTCAGCGTGATTTTGATTTTGCTTCTCTGACAGCCTCACCTGTGACCACAGTCATATAGATACAGCTGGAAGTAATTTAGCTTTGCATTGACTCCTCCTGTCAGGGAGGGTGGACCTCAAACTCAGACCTCAAACCCTAAAAAACACATTTTCTAAACAGTCTGACACAACTTTTATGGTGGAATTTAGTTATCTCTCTAATAATACATAATTAAGTTAATAATAGTGATGCATCTTTTGTACTACTATGCAAAAGCTAGTAATGTATGTTTCTATTCAGTCAAGTCAAGTTGCTAAAACCGATGCATGTCTAGAAATTAGACAGGTATCTCTCAAAAGACAATTTGACAGTGGACTTTTATGAAAGTGAACAAAAAAATATTTATTTACATTTTGTGCAGAAATGTCATGTTATAACTTACAGTAATTCCATTTATTTTCTATGGTAATAAAATGTTTTGGATATTACGACCAGAAACTGTTGGTATTTTAATATTTTTTGCCGTGAAATTTACGGACTTTTTTTTAAAGTGTATTCATTATTTATTATTTATGAAACATCTCTGTTTCATAGATAGAGCCTTCTTATAATTGTTGTTCAGCTTTTTGCATGTTTTTACTGATATTTTAACAATTTATCTTTGCGGTGGAGCTTCAAGTATTTCATGTTTGAAGGCGCCTTTGCCACCAGACAAACCTTTAGCTTCCTTCAGCTGGTTTACTTCAAGATGTGATTATTTCTTCTTAAAGATAAAAGAAGCATGTTGGACAATTAAAATATTACTTTAAACCTTAATCCAGGCATTACCAGCTTAACTGAATTCATATAGAATTTTTATTTTCAGAAGATTTTGGCTTAGACACAATATATTAAGTTTATTTTTACAATATTAAATGGCAAGAGAGAAGCAGAAGCTGTCATATGTAGGGTATATTTCTTTGTCACAAGATTGTTCAAGGTTAATCAAAAATAAAGGTCTTCATACATAGAGGAGAAGCAAAACAAATATTTTTCTTAAAGCACACTTTTATGGAACCTCTGCTAACAGGAAATCCTAAACAACATCTACTAAAGCTCAGCGTTCTTATATTTTTTGTGTGCCAATAAATGCCTTGTGAGGAGTTTTTGTCCAGCTTCTGTATTAACATTGTTATTGGATTTATTGGATAATCTGAAAGCACACCATGTTGTTGTTGTTAACTCTGGTGATTTTTTTTACATTCATCAACACAGTTTTACTGGTGGTTCTGAAAAGGCATTTTGCAGGCCTCAGTCAGTCAATTTATGCAAAGAAATTAAAATGGAAAACTTTTTTTTCCATGTTACACATCTGAGTCATGTTTCCTTATATAAAACATTTAAGCTGGTTGGACAGTGATAAGAAATGTTCTTCTCTTCTTCTTCAGTCCTAGTGTCAGAGTTTAGTGTACCTACAGCAATAGCATTGTTTGTTTTATATCTGTGTCTCACAAAGAAAAGAAAATAACCCACAAGATAATCCTGAGGGGATTTGAGGTTTTTGTACGTCAGATTAACCGATTTCAGTCACTGTGTGTCTCGAGCGCAGTAATAAACAGCAGAATCTTCTGTTCTCAGGCTGTTCATCTGCAGATACACTTGCTGTTTGTTGTTGTCTCTGGAGATGGTGAACCGGCCTTGAACTGACTGAGAGTAATATATGTTGTGATCATTATAATGAGCAGCAAGCCATTCCAGCCCTTTTCCAGGAGCCTGTCTGATCCAGTTGATGTAGTAGCTGCTGAATGTGAATCCAGAGGCTGTACAGGTCAGTCTGTGAGATTCTCCTGGTCTTTTAACCACTGGATCAGATTCTGTCAGAGTCTGACAACAAACACCTGTGAAACAAAGCAGATAATAAAAATATAGTTGTTAGAAAACAGCTTCACAAATGCAGATCGAAGTTCTCTTGACATTTTCTCACCCGTAAAGCAAATGACAAAAAACAGCAGACCAAATTTGTTCTTCATCTTGTTTCTGTGTGATTCTTGTTGTCTGACAGCCTTGCCACAGTCACACAAATAAACCTGGAAATTGTTCAGCTTTGCATTGACTCCTCCTGCCAGCGAGGGTGGAGTTGAAACTCCAGGTTTTTGAGGTAAACACAATTTATATATAAAAAAAAGTCTCCATGTTCTGAAAACTGTAACTTGTTGAAATAGTTGTAGAGTAAATGTACTGGTTGGCATGGTTTTGTTTTATATCTTCAAATCTCCAATAAAAACATTGTCTAATGCAACCTGAGGAGCTGGAAGAACTCACCACAAAGACTGAGAGCAACCAGAACAATGTGAGTTCATGTTTTCACTTTGCTGAAGTCACAAAACTTCTGACTTCAGTTCAGGTTTCAAACTAGGAAGTTTTAGAGATGGGTTTTATAACAGTAACCATTTGATGCACAAAAACATTAACACATTATTTTCTTTTAATAAATAAAACTTGAAGGAAAAATGCTGTGAGTATCTGGGGACGTTTTGCTTATAGCTGGAGTTGATAAAGGACTCGGAGACGAGCAAGAAGAAGGCAGGTGTATGATGGAAAAAAAAAAACATTTATTGATTAACTCAGCTTAGACAAGGGACAACCCAGACATGAAGAGCAACCAATTCTTGCAAATAACCTGGGAACCATTTACACAAACAGCAGTAACTTCAGAGTAGTGGGGAAGAGAACATAATGCATTGAAGATGTGTGAGAAAACCTGAGCATGATGGAGCAGAGGGAAAGTGTCAAAATTAAGACTCCCTTCAGATAACTTTGAAGGCGCTGAGGTTTTTGTACAGCTGCTACACCAACTTCAGTCACTGTGTCTCTCGAGCGCAGAAATAAACAGCTGAATCTTCTGTTCTCAGGCTGTTCATCTGCAGATACACCTGATTTCTGCCGTCGTCTCTGGAGATGGTGAACCGGCCTCGAACTGACTGAGAGTAATATATGCTGCGATCATCATAATGAGCAGCAAGCCATTCCAGTCCTTTTCCAGGAGCCTGTCTGATCCAGTTCATCCACCTGCCACTTATTGAGAATCCAGAGGCTGTGCAGGTCAGTCTGTGAGATTCTCCCTGTGTTTTAACCACTGACTCAGATTCGGTCAGAGTTTGCCCATCAACACCTTTGAGGGGAAAAAAGAAGTGAAACAATCTTAGCTTCATCTTATTGCCTTGATAAATGTAGGCAAATCAAACATTTAATTGAGAAAATCTGATAAAACTTTAGTATTTCACCTGCACAGCAGATGAATAAAAGCAGCAGTCCGCTCTTGTAGTCCATCTTGTTAAACTGTATCTGCTGGTCTCAGTTCATCCCTGTTAACTTAAATACACAGATGTAAGGAGATTTGTTTTCCATTGGCTCCTCCTCCACAGCAGATTATGGATAATGACACTGTTATTTTACAAAACAATTGTATTTTCACAATATTCAGAAACACATTTACCCTAAATAAAACTAGAAGCCTTTTTTATTATAATAACTCTATTCTGAAACCCAACTCAATAAAAAAGCCCCATGATTATATTCCCTTACACTGCAAAGCAAATATGGTTAAATAAGAACATTTAAATGTCCATTTCCCTGAGAAATATAATTCACATCACATATTTTGCTGCTTTATGCTATTTATGGGGTGCTTCTAAATTAGA